CACACCAACAGCACAGGGAGATCGGGAATGAGGGTTACAGGCAGTTCATCAGGACAACAGCTCCTGCCAGGAGCCYRCTCCAGGGTGTTTCCTATRGGGTCACAGCCTCYCTCAGGCTTGCACTTGCACAAGTGTAAGGTCCTTCACAAGCTCTCTGCCCACCATGGCTCTCYAAGGGCTGCAGGAGCACAGCTGCTKCACCATGGTATCCCCACGGACTGCAGGGGAATCTGCACTGGGGAATCTGCAGGGGAATCTGCTAGAGCACCTCCTGCACTGACCTTGGTGTCTGCMCAGTTGTGTCACCTSTTCTCACTCTGCTCTTCTCTGGCTGCAATTCATCTGCACAATAACTTTTTCCCCTTTCTTAACTACGTTATCCCAGAGGCATTACTACCATCGCTGGTGGCTCAGCCTTGGCCAGCAGCAGGTCTGGCTTGGAGCTGGCTGACATTGGCTCTGCCAGCACAGGAAAAGCTTCTGGCAACTTTTCACAGAAGTCACCCTTGCAGCACCCCTGTGACCAAAATCTTGTCATGCAAACTCAATACATAGAAGAAATCTGTCATTCTGCAATCTGGGATGTTTAAACGTGTGAAGATTTTTTTTAGACCATGAATGAGGGAATTCCAGTTAGTTAGGAATGATTATGGACATKGATATGGACTTAAGCAGCAGTGCATTCAGAGGGAAGATGGGTTCTGGCTTCTGGCCAAATCTTCCTTAGCTAGTGCTAGAGGGGCTAACACTCAGAAGTGAATGTGTGGGAGGAGCAGTCAGTGCACAGGGTCAGAGATTACGTTAAAACTCAGGCTTTGTGTATAGAGATAAGATCTGAGTAAAGAAGCCCAAAAGCTGTCTTGCAAAGCAAGAGGGACTTATTTCCTGTGACATTTGAGCCTTTTGAAGAATTAGGTAATAAGGAAATTATAATGTAGCAAGGGAACAGCAGAATCAAGGCAGGCTGTTAAAGAGATTGGAAATTACTTACCAAGGTCAATGTTGCCTTGCATGCTTTTCCTATAAAGTTGATGTCCAAAACTGAGCAGTAAGATATCCCAAAGGAGATAATGTTTAAGGAGGAGAAAATAGATGAGTCAGAAACAGATGCTTGGTGTTTTTAAAGCAGAGCACTGTYCTGAATGGATATCATCAATATAAACACTATAATCTTTCATTGTAATTGTGTTAATTCTCCTTGTGTTCCTGGTCAAACCTACAAACTGGTGGYGTGGGACTCTTTGGGGAGTTGTCTCATGCTGTGTCCCCCAGTCTGCCTATACGTTTTTTTGCTCTGGGAATTCTTTTGACCTCACTGTATAGAAYGATATTAGCTGCCTTAAGAAAGTAAATGAGATATAAAGTATGTAGCATGAAGGAGAATACAATCTTTATTGAGAACAGAAGGGGAAAAAAAGCTTGTCTTCTCACTCAATGCATTCAGAAAAGTTGGCTTTGACATTGTAATACTGAAAGACWTTGTAAGCATAAAAGTAAGGGTAGAGCCACTCAGGTATCCCAGAATTTGAAGGGTGTCATATTTCATTATATGGAGTTCTAAAATGCTTATTACAGATCTTGTTATTTACAGCTCTCATGTCTCTTTTAAATCTGCAGAAGAGGAATATCAAGGGCAAACCAAGAGAAAGCGCATTCGAAGGAAGAAACAAAAGAGCAAAACAAACAAAAGTAATTTACATGGAGAACAAACAGATACTGGAATGCAAGAGGCTGTTGTTCAAGATAATTTACAGCTGCAGAAGACAGACCATCCCAAAATAAGCAAAAACAAAAAGAGGAAAATGAAAAAGAAGAGACAGAAAGAAAAAAAGAGAGCAGCTGGCTTGGTAACAAAAACTACCGGTGTGGATTTTACATATCAGCCCGACAAAAACAACAGAGAAGAAGCAGCAGGCTTAAAAGACATAGATGAAAAGGCAGATAGCATTCTGGACTTCCTGCAGGCAACACAACAAATTTATTTTGCTGACAGTATGTACCAATGTTTCTCCTTTCTTTTTATGAGTATTACCCACAGGGGAAAATGGATATGCATTTATTACTCCTGTAAAAGGGGACAAATCTACTAAAGAAGTTTCTCTCTTGAGCTCAGTAGGAAACGTGAGTACCTAGTATTTGTCCCACTTTCTGGTGTATACCTGAATATATAAGAATTCACATCAATAGAAACAAACTGTGGTCCTCTGTCTTTAAAAATATATATGATGTTCCTTGCTCTTCTCTTAAACATTCCAATACACTTGGGACAAGTGTTTTAAATGGGCTGAATTCTTCCTTCTGCAAGCACACATCCAGAAGAATTAGTTGCTTTCAGAGAGCTTCAAATGAGGGCAATTGCAAACTACTTTTATGCTTAGCATCTCTGAACCAATTTACTTTTTGGAACGTTCTGCTTCCCAGGACGAAATTTATTGTATGCTACAAGGAAATCTAGACAGACAGCATTTAAAGGAAAGGGGAAGATACTATTGGCACTGGGAAAGTATGGCTTTAATTGGCTTAAAATGCTTGTGAACAAAATGAATGGAGCCTGATGTTTAATGCACATTCCATAGTACCTGTAGAAGCACTACATGGATTTATCACTGATGGCCCATTCAGTGTGCACTGGTCACTGTGGAGCTGAATGGAGAGTATTAAACAGCTTACCTACCTGTACTAGTCCATCTTAAATCAGAGCTGTCGGCTTCTAGTAGCATAAAATTAATCTTTTGACTACAGAATTACTTTCAAAACTATCAAGATTACATCAGGGATTTCATGTTAATTTTTTTTTTCAAGATTTATACATAGCATTTTCTTTGCTTGATGCCAAATTTTTCTGCTGCATCAGGTCTTCATACTAAGCCTAGCATCTAAAATCTGTCTTACTTTATGGCTAAGGTATTTCCATCATGAAAATTAAGAATTTTACTACTTCACCATATGGCTAAGTAAATGCAAGCTAAGCTGCATGCATTTTATGTAGTGGAATTCCACTACAGCAAGATTGCAAATTCCTCAATTTCTGCTGTTAATACATGACCCAGAACTGAAATCTGATCAGTTTTCCAGAGCTGTGTTGCATGTCGAATTTTAAGAAATAAGAGTGTTGTTGAACTTCMAGCTTTCCTGCAAGTCAAGTTCACATTTTGGCAGTTTTTGACAAACTGATTGGCCCTGGTTTCAAACCAGTAGATCAGAGTGTTGAGCCAGGGAGCATCTTGGAWTCTAGAGAGGAATTCTTAGGTAAAAGGAAGTTATCTGCAGATGAGATATGACATCTATAAATCAGAGTGTGACTAACTTGTTAGGCAGATCCCAGTTTATATATGGATCTGACATTATGCTGTTTGCCTTTTCTAGTTGAATGACTTTAACACTCCCTGTTTTTTTTTAGTGAAATTGGAAGGCATTGGTTTTAGCAGCATTTTCAAATGGACACATTGGATTATACTTCTAGTACATATGTTAAAAATCTGAATAGGAAAAATTCTGTACTTCTCAGGTGTCTTGCTGGTAAAAAAACAGAATTAAAGGGAGTCTGATGAAAGGGACAGACAACACATTGCTGGAATGAAAAATGAATTTATTTTTCGGTACTGTATAAAAAATTGTGTTGGATGTTGCACAGCAGCCTCACAGTGCTYTGCACTGCTCCCTGGAAGGGTGTTGATAACACACCAGGGTTTTCCTACTGCTGGGCAGAGCTGGTGCTGTACCAGCACTGTCTCACCAACATTCCCCTCCATCATGGGGCTGGGAGTGGGCAAGATGCTGGGAGGGCACACAACTAGGGCARCTGATCCAAATTCACCAAGGGGATATTCTGTACCATGTGATGTCAACTCAGATATAAAAGCTAAGGGAGGAAGGGAGAATGGGGCATTCATTATTTTACAGTGTTTGCCTTCCAGAGCAACTGCTACATGCACTTAAGCCCTGCTTCCTGGGAAGTGGCTGAACATCACTCACTGGTGGAAAATAGAGAATAAACTTCTTTTTCTCTTTAATTATGTGTGTGCAAACATTCACTAGTTTTGGTGGCTCTTTTGTGGTTTTGGGTTCTTTTAGCAAACTGCCCTATCTCAACCTGTGAGTTGTTTTTCATCTCATTTTCTTTACCCTTTCCCACTGGGAAAGGGAATGATAGAGTGGCTTGGTGGGCACATAGCATGTGCTAAAATCAACGTGTTGTAACAATATATGTCCTTCTCTGCTGTCCTGTGTGCTGTAATACTTGCTTTTGAAATAAAAACAAGTAAAGGTGCAATACCAAGATAATTGTTTGCCTCCAGAAGTGCGTTACAGTAGTTCCTCAGAGTTGTTCCCTTTTCCAAATGTGTGTGCAATTTATAATACATAGTGTGTAGTAAGCAAAAACACAGTGCTTAGCCACAGTGCAGTTTCTTCATCACACCTTCTTCTTCTGCTAATTTCGCAAATTTGATTCTTCTTGCATTCCTGTGATTATAAATCCTATTGTCTTATTGTATTTTGTAGTTTTTGCCTTACCCTTGTGTTAATAGTYAACAAAAAACATTTAACAAGCTGCTCTTTAGTGCCTGATATTTGGTTGTCAGTTGTACTAAAAAGGAAGCTGCTGTCTTTGAAAAGAAAGTATAATTAGGAAATTACTGAATATTTTTAATATTTTCTCTGTTTTTCCAGAGAAATCAGAATGCAGAGATGCTRCTGTCAATTCAGCAACTGCCCAAGAGCTCTTACAATGTCTTGAATCTCGCACCATCTCTTCCTCAGATTTGACTCATCTGCATCGGCTGAAATCCCTTGTATTGCTACAGGATATTGAGAGATTGAAGGATGCTCTGAAACAATTCCAAGAACAATCCACAATGTCTCCTGGTGGGTACCATTTGCTCATGTTCGTACACTGATATGTTTTTATTGCTTAAAATTCACATAATTTTCTTTTTTTTTCATTAGGAAGCGGTAAATAATTATATAATAGCAAATATATGCTTATTTGAAAATTTRAAATGATAATTCCCACCAAAACGACAGTGATATCCCTCTTTCCCATTTGTTTACAATCAATATGGAAGSTGTTCTCACTTCACAGCAACTACGGAATACAAGATGATTCAGGGGTTTAAACCAATAATTTTTAAATCTGGAGTGTTTTAAGATTTAATCATATTTAAAGTATATCTTTAATACATTCCCATGGTAGACTTCTTAAATTTCAGGAATTCACATATTTATCTTGGAGATTTCACTCTTCCAATTAAGGATTAATTTTACATGCATAAGAACCAATAAAACCCATTATTTATTTCTTCCTGGTCACCTACATCACTTCTTTAATACACAAATTTTGCAATCTAAATTTTGATTTACAGTTTTGGTTTTGTTTAAATACAAACATGTCACATAAGTTTCTAAAAAATACCGTTTATGTAAGAATTTAAACTTGCTCATTATAACAAAATATATTTTGAAGTCATTCATAAAAAGAAAAATTACTGTGTTACTAAATCGTTTCATGCCTGAGGCATAAGCTCCCTCTGTTCTGTATTATGACCCATATAATTTTAGTAGAATCTGTTCTTATGCAGTTAATAGTTCCTTAAGTGAATGTGGGATCAGCATGTACATAGCATCCCCATAAGATATAATAATTCATTTTCCATGTAGTCTTCATTTGAACAGTTATTGCTACTAGTCATTTGAACTGGTGTTACAGTATCAGACGAAAATCTACAGGACGTGCTGAATTTTCTTGCCTCCCAAAGAATTTGATCGGAGTTGAGAGTACTTGGGTACGTCACGAGAGAGTCTCTCATTTTAGATTTTGCTCTGAGTTTTTTGAGGAGTAACAGCAGAAATAGTAGTGTGGTAAGTGTAAGATTATTGCCATCAGAGGCTTAGCAATAGCATTCAAAGAAGAGACATCTGCTTGTATCTTCATTAAATAATTTACACCATGATAGTGGCTAAAGATCCTCACCAAGACTGGAGCCTACTGAATGCTTTGTGTTGTACAGAGAAAAGAGAGAATTCCTGCCTGTGGAGTTCAGAGCTGATATTTTATTTGAAAAGGATGCTCTTAGAGAAATACATATATAATCTTCTAAGGGTAGATGTACAGTATGACAGCCTTTGAAGTTCTGATGGATATGAATTATCCACATATACATGGAATGAAATAATTTCTGTGCATTTCAAGCCTACAATCTCCAATCTTAATTATAATCACATTGTCTCATTGGACGTAATAYACATGTGCAAACCAAGTAGAACTCAACAGGAATAGTGAAAATAGTATTGCCCCTTTATTGAATGAACTAATTCAGTTATTTTGATTAATTCCAAATGGAATTGTTGAAGTGACAACATTCAGGATCTTCTTTACACACCTTATCTAAATTTTGTACAATACAGTTGGAGTTCTGTTGAGTTTTGCAGCCTTGAGACAAGTTGGTCTGTTTACTTTTGTATAGCAGAAATGTCAATCTGAAGAGAGAACACAGAAGTAAATTAAAACCTCTAATTTTCCAGTGTATGTATTCTTCATTTCAAAAAGCAAATGACAATTTTCTGTGTAGTTTTTAAAACTCATTGATGTTTCTGCTGGTGCAACCTGGAATTGTTTACTCTTCCAGTTGATTTTTTCTCTAGTAACTGCTCTCACTCTGGGCTCGATTCTAATCTTGTTCCAAGTTCACAGTGGTGTAATCATAATAGTTGATTTGATATTCATGAGATACAACAACATAAGAAAGRGGAAAATACATTCTTATAATTACTAAAGGATAATTAAGCACCTGCTAGTCATTAATTTTCCTCAGCAGACTTCAACAAATATATTCTATTTGTAATTCAGGAAATTCAGTGAATGAAAATATAATGCATTGAAATTTTACTTTGAATTAGGCTTTTAATTATACTTTTTTTCCTACATTTTGCTAAAATGTAGGAAAAATATAGGTCACCTGCCCAGTGTGGATTTTTTGCATTTTAGTTTTCAGTCCCAATGAGCAGGTGATAAAAGTTAAGAGTTATTACCAAAACCTGTTGTCTTAATGAATTTAAGTTCTTATTATAGAAAGACAAGTTAGGGCTGTTTATGAAGGTAAAAATGCACAGTACATAATTGTAGTCTAACTTTTTATGACTTTGTCTTAATACCTTGTCTTTTTTCTCTTTCTTTTTACTGGGGTGCGTTGCTAGAAGGAAAGGTTATTCCTTCCATGTATTAACATGATAAAAAAACTTGATTTTAGGACAGTGTATTACTTTTACAAAATCAATATTTTATTCCCTGTACTTCAAGAAGCAGTATCTTAACCCTTTTTCCCATGGTTATGATTGTACTTAAAATGCCATCATCAAAGAAGTAAAGATAAGTGCTATCTGTTTTGTTCACTTAAAACTGTTAAAACTGTTTTGTTCAGTTTTCTTTAATTCCAGGAAAGGAAGCTTAAGAAAAAAATGAAAAGTGATGCATCGCTTCATATAAGTGCACATTCTCCATTAGTAAAATTTACAAATTATATATRCCATTATGTCTTTTATTTCCTCATACATATATATGTTATGATTTCATCTAAGCTTCCACTGGGGTTACCAAGTCCCACTTGGCATGTTTATGCCTACTGATGATAAAAGTGCTTTAGAATAAATCCATGGACTGCTCAASGTCTGCAGATCACAAATATGAAAAYCACTGGTTCAATTCCATCATTTGGTATTTCCTTTACATCTCTTAGCATGTTACTCAAATTGGAAATCACGGTGCATCCAGAAGAAAAAAAGAAACTGGAAATAAATTTCTGTTTTATCTTAAGCTCTTAGATCCCCATATTTGCAGTCATATTGAAAAAAGGCCTAACAAGGGTGGTGGTAGGGTCTGATAAATTTTGCAGGAAAAGGAAATACTAAGGAGATTCAGGCACAAAAATTATCAACAATAGGTATTACCTTTTAACACTTCATTTAAATGAAAAAAAAAATATTTAAACAAAATCTCTGTGGTTCAGAGGTACTGGTTGTTCTGTTCAGTTGTCATCCTCCATCAACTTACTTTGTACTTTGCATTTCAGATTATTCCATCAAGTTACTTTTGACCTTGTGCATGAGTGATCAGACAAAGATGAGGTTGTTCAAGAGTGTTTAGGGGAACATGGTCATTTCAAGTTGTCATTGTTCTCAGTCTGTAAAATGGAACAAAATGCCCTATTACTATTTCCACTTATTTGGTAGTCTTTAACAAAAAGTACTTAACTCTACCTAAAAGYTTCAATAAGTGCAGGGAAGAGAATGTCTAGAAGTCACATAGACATGGTTTTCTCATGATGGGGGCTTTGTGATCTCTGTTAGAAAGTCTGTGGCCGTTAGCAAAAGGAAGCCAAAGACATTCATGATCCTCCACTGTGCAGTGGGCAAAGGAGAAGAGCTGTGACTGGAAATAATGCTCCYGTTGCTGGCTGGAAACTAGCTGTTGAAATGAGAGCTACGTAATTCCCATTTCACATCAATTATTAAAGCATAGGTGATTGCCTAATTAAGAAAAAAAAGTMATTTTCTCCTAATTTATGAACTCATTTATGAACTTCTCATCAAATTCATTGTATTATCTATTAACATTTTCCCTTTGTTGGTTAGTTTCAAGTCTCAAACATACTCTTCCCTTGTTGCCTAGGAAATTATCACTCATGGCGGAGCTGGAAGCTTCTTTTAACAGACTTTTTATTTTGAGAATTGTCATTTATATAAGTCTTCATTGCAGAGGGATGCACGTTTTGCAGACCAGAAGTAATGCAGTTACTGTGTGCCAGCAGTCAGAGACTGGATAATACAGAGGCCTTAAAATGAYTGAATTTACACTTCTTTTTTTCTTTTTTTTGAATGAAAGGGTRTTTAAAGAAAAGGAAAAGAAAATTGAAAACTGTATTAGCATAATCTTACAGAATCATCTTAAACATGATTATTATGTGATAAGTACTGCAGAAAGTTCTGTCATTAAGTATCARTACAGCCACATAAGTAATCTTTGAATTAAGACAGAAGCCATAGCATTTTGAGGCTTTAATGCAGCTATCTGTACCATATGACTCATTCTAAACTGGGGCTTCTAGGTACTACTGTAAGTTAAATAATGATGTGTGAAATTACTCTCCAGACAGAAAGAAGCCTTGCCCGTATAATCATGTCATTTCAATCTCATTTTTTCTGAATTACTGRATCATAACAAATAGGACATTTCAGAGTGTAGGAACAAAATTTTTTCTCATACAAATGACTGAACTCCTAAAATAAAATGCACCTGCTTCTATAGAAATACATATGTATCAGTTTCAAGCTCCAATATATGCTCTGATTTTACAGAAATGTTAATATTGAATGGAAACATATTTTCGCACAAACCTTTCTCTCAGCGCTCAGAAATGTCATGAAGGTATTTCAGGAGGAATGTGTTTTCTTTGTTTCAGATCATGCCAAGGTAGCCACATCTCTGTTTCACTACTGGATTACAGATATCCTTCCTGTGAAGAACAGGAAATAAAACCTTGCCGCTATGTCCATATGCACAGGATTAAAATTTGTTGTACAAACTCTTAACAGAGTAGCAATTGTTCAGGAAGAGCAGTGTCAATACACTTTCTACACCTTCAGGTAAATGGATTCTTTTTAGGTGTTGCAAACTCCAGAAGACAATGAAGGTGTGTAACTGCAGTGTGACATTTGTGATTGTTGGTCAAGAGTGTGGCTCAAGACTTCCAATGCATTGAGATGTACATTTCACTTCAGGATAAGGGACTTAACTGGAATTATTAAGTCTCTATCAGGTATTTTGTTAAGGAAGCATAGTATTTATTATCTTTTTTGTTTGTAAATGTATTGTTCCTTTCTGGAAATTATATTTCTTGACGTTTTTGTATATCTGCTTCCCTGGAAAACAGAACTATATTTTTTGTATTTAAACCTAAGCAATGATATTGTCTGAGGAATGTATTTTTGCTGAATAAACTATTAAATTGTGGAAATAGATGCATTTCTACTCGTGGGTCATGTAGGTTGTATTTGGAGTTACGCGTAACTTGGMTGGTGTTTTCAGAACTTCTCCATGGCTCAGCCTGTTACAATCCAATGGGTTTCACTGCAGAGTTATGGGWTTGGGTTCTCTCTAACTGATTACTGTGTAATCTGTCTACTGCTGTGTAATATTTCTGCAATTGTACATAATGAAGTAAATAATATCCATGGCTGTAAAATGTTTTGGAATCGTGAAGAAAAAAGTGTTTTGTGAGAGGGTCTTCTCTCAGCTGTATTATTCATCTGATCAGATGAACCATGTCTCATTTCTAGGTTTGTTAGCTTTGTCATCAATAAGATAGGGCCAACATATTTAACTTCTCCACCATGGAGGAGTGCTTGCAGGTATACTACTGATGAGACTATATAAACATTGCAGGATTTTTTTGCTTTGTTATTTTCTTTTTTATTTTATTGCCTGATGTATCCTGTAGCAAGGCATTGGTTTGGTGATGCTCAAAATTCATAATAAAAATAGAATCATACCTCTTTCTCATTAATTGAAGAAATTAAAAGGGTTTGGTGATACACCAAATGATTATAGGTGCGGAAAAACCAGTCTCATTGCTAAGGGAGCTTTGCAGCTCTGAAGAACTTGAGTTTGGTCTGTATCTGCTAGGAAAGGTATATAAACCAGACTTTGCAGAGGGGAAACTTGTAGCGTRTCCTCTCTTTTAATTCTCCTGGATTGTTAACACAGAGGTATTGAACTGTAGCTGTGACTTTACACTGAGATCCTGTGTGCCTCAGTCCCACATCTGGAAAAAGAAGAAAACATCACCTGAATGTGAAGCACCTAGGTGCTCTCTACTGACTCATGGGAAATGAGACACTTCATCTTCTGTTTAAGGCTGGAGTGTCAGAGAGTAAATGAGGCTTAGGAACTGCAAAAAAGGATACACAGCAATTCATTAGGTAAACATCATCTGTCCTAAACACTGAATATAAAATAATAAATGAAGTCATGTAATTAAAGACAGACTTTTGAAACACAAACGCAAAAGAGATCAAATAGGGACCACAAAAATAACTGTAGAGTCTTTCATTTCCTTATACTTGAGGGACTCTGCTGAGGGACGTTATAAGGCTGCTGCCTTGGGTAGAGCCCAGGACTCGGCGATTCCTCCTGCTTGTCCACTGGATCCTAGGATGGAGTACCTGGAAATCTGGATGTCAGTGTGGGTGACCTCAGTTTCCACATTTCCAGATTCAGGTGGTAGCAATGCTTCAGCGCCTATCTCAGGGACACACACACTCACAACACTCCCATGGCTGACTACACAGCCCTTTGATGCCTTGAATAGTAGGACAGCTGCTTTCCTATCCCTGCCTGGATCCTGGGCCCTCTTACCTGCTCTGAGGCTGTCCTGTGCACCAGCTGGTGCATGCTGGAACACACTACTGCACATTCACACACTCATCTCGCAAGCACTCATGCACTCATGTCACAGCTTCGTTTATTGCTTCAATTTCTCTTAYTTATTATTTCTCTTTCAGTGCTTGGCCATTTATCATAATCATAGAATGGTTTGAGTTGGAAGGGACATGAAGATCATCAAGTTCCAGTCCCGCCATACTATGACGCAGATACTTTTCACCAGACCACATATTAAACTGATTTTTAAAATTCAGCTGAATTCTAAACAGCTGCATGTAGATGAGCAGATTTTGCTATCTTTGCCAAACAGAAATATTTTCACAGAATCATGGAATGGGTAAGGTTGGAAGGGACCACAGTGGGGTCATCTGGTTCAGCCTCACTGCTCAAGCCAGGTAAAATTTTGTTCTGTTCCAGAATGTGAGTAAAATTTCACAGGTCAAAAATGTACTTTGCTTGAATTAGGTAATAATGAAGAAAAGATTACTTTCAGTCTTACTTTTTGCCCGTTGCTTTTACCACTGTAAGAGCCTTAGATTCTGTGCAGCAATCAGCTGGCCCCAGCAAAGCGAGCCTGGGAGCAATTTCTGAGCGTGGCCATTTTGTCAGTGGTATCTGATGTCTTTGCAAATGACCTGCGATAGGAGCTGAATCTTACACGTACCAAGCCTGCCACTATGCACTAACAGGGATTATGAAGAGGATAAAGCATGCTAAAGAGTTTGGAAAATTGGACCAAATTCAAGCAGATGAATTGTAGATTGCCATTGTAGATAAATGCAACTGTGTAAAAGTGTATTTGTTTCTGAAACGAATGCGCCAGACAATGGTGTGCTGAACTGCGACATGCATAAGGACACCTAAGAGCAGTGCACAAAAGAGCACAGCATAGAGATCTAGTTTAAAAGCAAAAGAAATGGACACTACTCATAATATAAATTAGGCAGTGTACCAAAAATGGCAGGGGTTCCACGTTTGACATCCTGTTTGCAGTCAAAACWATTTCATACATCATGATTTTAATACCTGGTCACTTTTCTGCACTGCTGGTCTAAAAGAAATGGTGCTCAATCTCCATACACCTTTTCAGGTTTATTTGAGCAGTGGTGTAACATGGCTGAGATATGAAAACTGAAAAAATTTAATTAATTTTCACCAGTGAATGTTGTGTTTGTCATTTCGCTATACATTGCTCACTATAACTTCGCTATACATGGCTCCTTCAACGCAACAATGAAACATTTATCCCTTAAGATTCTCCTATTAAACTTAAGAATGGCATAGGAGATGGCCTTGAATTTTAACTTCTTAAGCATCATTCCGTTTAATGAATATCCTGCATCATGTGGAATTTCTGAAATACGGGAAAGTTTTTAAAGTGGATTTTACTTTAGAATACTTAAGGCTGAGCTGTACACACACTATTATCAGCATATTTCAAATTTCATTGAAGTCTGAGCTTTAAAACTTTGGGTTTAAAAGACTCCAAAAGTAGGAAGAATTTAAGGATCAACGGGATAGTAACCTCTATATGWGTTCAAGGGTTAACTACTAGTGCACATAATTGAAAAATGCACAGTAAGTGAGGAGCAGCAGCACAATCAGAGAGAAATCAGTCTCTGGGAGGCAGTGGTCCCATACAAGTACAAGGAAGATCACAGAGGCTGAAATTGTTTCAGGCATCTGTAGTTATGAATGAGTTGGTCACTGTGCTTGTATGCAAGGGTATGAGTTCAAAGCCATTATCTCTACGTATAGGGACATGTTTTATTCTTAAAATTGCCTATAAGACCTTAATTTTTCTCTTTCATGGATATGTAATATAGGAATCAATCTCTAATGTTAGAGATTTTTACTGCTTTGTAATTGGTGTAATATTTTATGTAGTGCTTTACAGTCATGTAGGGTTATAAATTCCTTAATGCGTTTTCTATGACAGCTGGCTTTTCTCTCCTACACCAGTGTAGGGAGTTTTTACTTAATAGACTGAATCTCTGAAATGACTTTGAGGGGGAAAAAGAAAAAAAAAAAAAAAACTGAAATGACTTTGAGGGGAAAAAGACTTTAAAAAAAAAAAAAAACAAAAAACACAAGGAACAAAAAAAGTGAATGGTAGCATGAAGGCAGATTTTTAAGCTTTCACCAACGAAAACTTACTTCTCACAGTAATACCATTGTTGTGGTTTGAATTAATTCAATGGGAGCAAAACACTCCCAAGTTCCAGCAAACCCCCTTCCCCCTCTCTTTTCTCCACCCRGGTCCTAGAGGCAACCTTTTCCACAGAGAGGAAAGTGAAAAGAAAAGGGAGAAAAAAAACCTATTTATTTAAAAATTATATAAACACAAAGAAGAAAAACCTGTGGAATCAGCTGTTAGATCCCAAAGCCTTTCTCTTCCCTCCTGGGAGTASCTTCCCCTCCGGGCCCCCAGAGGGGTTCGACAGAGTCTCTCTCCRATAGTTCACTGAAGGATTTTTCTCCCTGCCGTGCCACGAGAATCCTCCAATTCTCAGATGACGAAGAGGGAAAACAAATTCGAGGAAAAACAAGTCCAAAGAAAGCAGAAAAAGGAGCAGTCCCAGGAAGAGCAGCTTCTTTTTCCACCGCTGATCCCGAGAGAGAGCCTCCCCAGAAAAAAAAAGAGTCTGTGTCTTGTCCCTTTCCCTCCCATTGTCCTTGAAGGGAGGAACATCACCAAACAAACCAGAGCAGTCTCGACTATCATGTATAGTTACAGAAGGGTTGTTKAACTTTCCTCTAACATAAGCAGATGATAGGAATACAATACTCAGCTAACCTAGGACAACCATGTATATCATAAAACCAGTTCACAAACATAGAGTGGAAAGAGGTGTGTGTTATACATGTACAGTATGCTACACGTTGGGCATAATAACAAAGTGCAAAAGATGGCGATTTATATGATTGGGAAAATGTATTATATTTCATATTTTGGGAAAGCTCAGGTTATAGCTATGCAGGTTTTGTAGTTAATTGCTTCTGCCTTAGATTGCTCCTAAGGAGGGCTGTACTGCACATGTTTATGCAGCTAATTAAGATTCACTGTTTACTGTTTTATCCTCTGCATTGTATCTGAGTAAATTTTGCTTGTTCTAAACTGTTAGATATATGCAGGACTAAGGGGAGGGGGGACATATGTATAAAGAAAAAGCAGAAATTTAGAGATGCTTTATTTGTTTCCTATCTCTAGGGATCTAGGAAAAAGCTATATATTCTATGATTATTTGAACGCTGTGCATATGCACCATAGTCAATGAAGGTCAAATGTATCCCTTTAATAAGGATGTTCTCCAAGCTGAATGCTTGACATAGTAGAATTAATAGTCTGCAGTCATTTTAGTGAACTGCATATTCTGGTAAAGTGTATAAGGAAGCTGTAGTTCTCTTTTACATTATGCAAGACYACATTCTGTTTTAGGATACATAATGGAAAAAAAAAAACAAAAACATAATCTAAGATTGAAGAGCAGTACACAAAAAACATAAAGAATCTTTGGTTCAATACTTTTATTTTGCATCTACTCTAGGCTGCTGTAGGCTGCATCAAGTAGGGGCTGCTTTTCTTCACTTTCAAGTTCTTTACTAGGGTTCTCCATCTCTCATTCAGTGCACAGATGATTCCTTCATCCCTGTGAGCCTCTGGCATTAAGTTCCATCACCCATTTGCCATACCTTCAGATATACACATTTGTGCTTTTTTGCCACAGTGCTTTCCACAAGTCTGCAGAGCAATCTTTCCATTGTCTWCCTTTCCTTATTTAAAGCTCTCTTTTGCTGTGATGCTGCTCAAAACCTTGGCCATAACCTGGTCAGTATTGTGCTAGGACAACTGCCTACTGTGCTGACTGATGTTGCCTTACTGGCCATGTACTCCCACATCAATCTCCCTGTTTCCTCCCCTGTTTTCTCCTTTCCTAAACAAGTAGCAGTTTGATGCAGGATTTGCCCTGTGGCACAACACCAGCACAGCCAGTTCCTACCCGGTCTGAGATGATAGTGTGCTCGGRAAATGTACTAGTTTTACCTACAATGGAGAGCAAGGCTTCATAATTTTACGTCACACACATGATCAGCTTGGTAAAACAG